TTGATCTCCTTGCAGTCCAAGGGACTCTCAAGAGTCTTCTCCACCTGCACAGTTCAATTCAAAATCATCAGTTCTTCGGTGCTCAGCCTTCTTTATAGACCAACTCTCACATCCATACATGACTACTGGTAAAACCATAGCTTTGATTATGTAGACTTTTGTCGGCAAAATGATGTCTCTGCTTTTTAATACACTTAAGTTTTTCAGAAACCGTGTCCTCTGCATTGGCAGGCAGATTCTTACCCACAGCATCACCAGGGAAGTCCAACAGATATATACTCTCTATATACATCTTTCTGTATTGACTTCCTTCTTCTTATTTTGCACATGCACACACAATATTGTGCAGTTGTGTGTGTACACAAACTTACAACTGAGAGAACATTAGCTCTTTCAGAGAATGTAGAAATTGAATTTGAGAAAAACAGGAAAAAGTGGACCTTTTAGTAGAGGGGGGGAAAATGCCTCTTTCTTCAGCCTTGCAGTTTCTACATGACTGGATGGGAAAGAATTTACCAAGCCTATGTTATGAGTCACTAAGTGGGCACATGGTTCACCGGTCCCTTCTGCAGTTCTAACCATCATCTCCAATCCAACACCTTAGCAAACTGCAGTTGTTCAAGAGTTCCCACTCTTCTAGTGTTTCAGTGTGAGATTCACAACTGTAATCAGTGACCTCTCTGGACCCTCCCAGAGAATGGACCCTAGAGCACTTACTTCACCACTGAAGATATGGGTAAGAATAAAGGTTCAGGCTTTGCTCACTGAGAATACATTCATTAGAGAGCCGGGGCTGATTTTGGTAATGATTAAGAGCATTGAAAAGTGTGATTATTTTTATAGACCTGTGAAGATATTTAGAAATTAGTTGATCTGTGAAAGAAAAAAAACTGTTACAGGGCTACTATGTTGCCTGTGATAGAAATGTATTTTGTCTTAAGGGATTCAGATATTTAGAATTTCAATTTATTATTTCTGCCTTCTCTCTTCTTGCTCTTAGTTCAGGTATTTACTCCATGAGGGCATGATTTAAATACTGCTTTTTTTCTCAGAATTATTTTGCACATTTTATGTGTGTGCTAGAGAGTTTTATAGTCTAGAACTTTGACCAGCAGACATGAGATGGTTATTTCATTGCATACATGCTGGCTGGTGAGTCATGGAAGAGAACCAAGGGAATAAGGTGCATTCTGAATCATGGGCAGGAATTGGAGTGAGAAGTGGGGAGTGTTAGTCTTTTTTTAATGTAAATTTTATTTTTCTTTTATATGGAAGAGGACTGAAGGTCAGAATTCAGAGCTTCTATGAAGGTTCCTTGGTCATCAGGTTTTTTGTTCTTTTGTGTGTGTTTTGCTTGGTTGTTTTGGATCACACAAGCATGTAGGATTTTAGTTTCCCCACCAGGGATCTAACTTGAGCCTCCTGTGGTGGATGTGCTGAGTCTTAACCACTAGACCACCAGGGAAGTCCCTAGTCTTTCTTTATGCTCAGAGCAAACCAGTCTGCAAATGAGCCCGAAGCTAACAGTATTCTTCAGACTGGGGACAGAACTTGGATTGGGGCAAGCCGAGAGGATATCTGTGATTTTCACACAGGAAGAGAGGGACAGTTTTCCTTATGATAGTGAAGAGGAATTGTCTGGTAAAATAAGGTAACCTGTTGGTAAAGAGCCGCCAAAGTGGCACCTGCCAATCAGACCCAGTGGAAGCTTTTCCACCTGAGATCCAGTGCTGGGAACAATGGCTGAAAAAGATGACTTTTATGAAACTATAGGATGACTATCATCCATGGGCTGGTGAATGTTGTTGACTGGACAGTGAGAAGCAGGAAAAAGGCAAGAGTATGTCTCTTGGGCTGGAAATCAGCAGCCATTCAGTTGAGTGAATGAATGAAGTCATGGAAAGAATCAGTAGGACCCATGTCAAGACATGAGAAGATGGAGTGTTCTCACACACTCAGAAAAGGACAAAGTGGGAATGCAGCTTTTATGGGTTGTATTGGCGGTCCGGTCAAACTTGGAAGCTGTGTTTAGTCAATTATAATAGATGCTTGACTCCCCAAATGGCACTAGTGGTAAAGAACTCCTGCCAATACAGGAGACTTAAGAGATGTGGGTTCTATCCCTGGGTCGGGAAGATCCTCTGAAGGAGGGCATGGCAACCCACTCTACTATTCTTGCCTGGAGAATCCCATAGACAGAGGAGCCTGGTGGGCTACTGTCCATGGGGTTCCAAAGAGTTGGCTACAACTGAAGCAACTTAGCACACAGGCACACAACTGACGCTTAGGCTAGAAGGACAATAAAAATGATGATGGATTTATCAACTTAACCAATTTGTAGCTATGTAAATATGTGTGAAATAAACCTCTTCCTTGACTGTGTTGTTGGTCATAATATATGCTAAATAGATTCACACTTACTGAATCTGAGAATTTAATCTGTTCCAGGCATTGTAGTAGCCACTTTCATATGTGTTATCTCATTTGATCCTCTTTACAATTCTATAAATGAAGAATTCACCCTGTTATTTTGTAGAGGAAAATAACGCTTGGAGAAGTTAAATTACAATCAAGATCACAAAGAAGTATGCAGATTTGGATCTGAATTTCAGATCCAGTTTTTTTTCCCATAGCCCTCATATGCATCTTCTTTTTTTGTACTTACTTCTTTGTTATGTTGGTTTCTTCCTTTTAAAACCACATAAGTTTTTAAAGGGGCTTCCCTGATAGCTCAGTTAGTAAAGAACCCACCTTCAGTGCAGGAGACCTGAGTTTGATCCCTGGGTCAAAAAGATCCCCTAGAGAAAGAAATGGCAGCCCACTCCAGTATTCTTACCTGGAAAATCCTATGGATAGAAGAGCCTGGTGGGCTATAGTCCATGGGGTTGAAGAGTCAGACATGATTTAGCGACTACACCACCACCACCACCACCACCACCAAAGTTTATAAAGAGCAAAATCTAAATTTTAGATGTTCACTTAGGGGTCTTTATGAAGTGGTGGCTCTGGGAAAGCAGTTATCAAAATCACAAAGAAGGTTGAGGCATCTGGGATTGAAACCAGAGAGTTAATGTTTGCAGAAATCTCAGAGAGCAGGACCAGCTGTTCTTGTCAGACAGAATTCATCACAGAATATCTTTAGACCATTATTCTCAGGGATAAACAATACATATCTGTCTTTAAGTGTGGTTAAAATGGACCAGATTTGCAGTTTGTGCATCAGGGGTGTTTAGATGCTAATGCCAAGGGCTAAATTCATGTTTTTTGTAGTTTGCTGTTCAGTCATGTCCAACTCTTTTGCAATCCCATGGACTACAGCCCACCAGGTTCCTCCATCCATGGGATTCTCCAGGCGAGAATACTGGAGGGGTTTGCCACTTCCTTCTCCAGGGGATCATCCCAACCTAGGAATCAAATCCTTGTCTCCTGCATCTCCTGCATAGCAGGCAGATTCTTTACCACTGAGACACTGGGTTGTTTTAAACTTTAATCTCAATGCCAGCAAATAACTCTGGAAACTCCTCCCATATACCAAATTTCAGTGAATTCTATTAAATATTCTGGAAACTAGCCTTTTTGACAGCTACTGCGCTACTATTTCACAAAGGGTTATACCCTCAGAATGAGCCAAATTTGGTCAAACTTAAGAGTTTATTGACTTGAAGGTGGACAGATAGGCCACTGTGAAATGCCCTGTAATTCAGAAGAAACAGAACACTAACTTTCTCTCATCCTAAATGTATAGGGATGTAGAAAATGACTTGTTGTGAACAGGGTATATGCTAGCTTTATGTGCCATGAGAAAAAGTCAAGGACTGGCGTGGATTTGGCTTCGTTCAGGGTGTATGGATACAGAACTTAAGTTATAGCAAGGCAAGATGGAAGAAATTTCATTTTTTTGTAATGGTGGAGAATGGGATATATTGAAATTTCAGAAGCCAAGAGCCATGTTCAGATTTGCAGAAATCTTTTAAAAAATAGAAGTTCAGATGAAACACAGAGCTTACTTTCTCAGCTGCTAGATGTTGTCCTGATGTTGCAGGAGCAACCTTCCCCAATGCCTGACAGTGGTTCGTGTGGGTCCCCGTGGCCTTGGAGCATGTGGAACCACTGTCTTATTGCTGAGTTATGCGCCTGTGCTCCTCTTTTTCATTTTGCGTGTACAATCTGTGCACAATAATCTGAGTTACCTGACATCATCGACTGACTTGCTTTATTTCTTTGGGAGCGTGTTTGCAAGCAACTTATGGTTAACCCTTTCAGTGCCTGTGAAAGGTTGTGGTTTTGTGAACATCCAACATATCAAAGAAGCTTAACTGCTGCCTCTAGACGTCACTCACTGAGTGACCCAGAAACCCTCTTCTAGTACATGTTTAATACAAACTAAAAAATAAAGCAAAAAACAGTTAGGTATACAAAGCCTTTTACTGTGACCACATTGGGAGGATCTTTGCCTTTATGAAAAGGAAATGAGAGGGGAATCTGGGGCGTTATTCTCCTCATGGAAGAAAAGGAGAGAAGTTGAGAGACCATACCCAGTGTTGCTCACCAAGTTCAGGCCAGCTGTTCTAAGAAGCAGTTTTCTGTCTGGGGGTGGTATGGGTGGGGATAGAAAAGTTACATGTAAGCAGGAAAACAGATGATTTGAGCTCATGCAGGGAAAATGGTCTCATATACTAGGAGACTGGAGAAGAATTTAGCTTATCTCTCAAGCCTCAAATTTAAATTTTAAAGATAATGCAAGTGTATCTTTCATTATCTAGGGTGAAACAGATCACCAGCCCAGGTTGGATGCATGAGACAAGTGCTCGGACCTGGTGCACTGGGAAGAACCAAGGGATCGGGCGGAGAGGGAGGTGGGATGGGGGATCGGGATGGGGAACACATGTAAATCCATGGCTGACTCATGTCAATGTATGACAAAACCCACTACAATATTGTGGAGTAATTAACTTCCAACTAATAAAAAAAGAAAAAAAGAAAAAAAAATAAAGATAATGCAAGTGTAAAAGATACCAAATACACATTTCTAATAAGTCTTTTATTTTACTGTGAAGAACCTTAGTAAAGAACAGTGGAATGCTGAGGCTTGGAATGGGCGCATTTTCAAGAATCTGTCTGGGAAACTTGAATTTCCAGATTTCCCTGTAGGCTGTAAACTGGCAGAAGTTTTCATACTTGCTAAAGAATAACCCTTCTCTTGCTTTTCCTGATGAATTTAGAGGAGTACAGGCACGATCCACTTTAAAAGATGCACTTGGACTTCAGATTTAAAATGTCTGTTCTTTGAAAGATATTGCTATAGAATAAAAAGATGCCAAAAAAAAAAAAAAAGAAATTGAGAGAGATGAGCTTATTCTTTGTCACCAAAGATTTTAATATTAAGAATTTAGTATAACCAAGCAACTGATTCCATGGAGGTCCTTGGTAGGAGGTGTTTTGAAAACTCTGTCTAGATAACTTAGATAATCTTTGCATCTTTGTGGTACTCAGGAAGACAAATACAAGGAGATGTTTTCTTATGAGCCAAGACATGTTTCCTTTTTGTGTGAAGCATAACTTGCAAACTAAACTGATTATTTCTAGTAACTTTGCTAATAAATGGTTGTATACGTAACCAACATAAGCCTCAACACACAAACAAGGACATTGTCTTTCACACCAGTTACACCTGAAAGCATCTCTGGTTCAGATGTGTCCTTTTTAAACATTTTTTTTTTATTTTTGCAAAAGGTGAGAAATTGTGTCACTGTGTGAATACTCAAGGATGCTATTGCTACTATGCATTCTTTTAATTTCATGGAACCAAGAATAAAAGCAAATCTTGAAATATACCCTTTCTTCATCAGTAGGCAAATAAGATTAAAAAGAACCCTATGTTAATTTAAGAGACATGGTGGGTGCTTTGAAAATTGATACTGTTCGGGTAGTTGTCTATGCGTTTTTGAATGAAGGGGACATAGAGACTAATAAATTGAACTAAAGAAAATTTGATGTCAGGCTACTTTTGTGAGTGGCTTGGATTTAATTTTGCCATCATAGGTCATCTTTATGCAAGGAGCACTAAGATAATTGATTATCTCCTGATTGATACACACAATTATCAAACTCTGTTGGAGGGTCAGAGGGAACAGGCCAAAGTAGAAATTCATGGAGAGAAAGGAAAGACTAGAAAGTATCATTCCCCTAGCTCTTCTGAAGGAACTCTGAAAAGAAATCTTAACAAAATCAATTTGCAATCATTTGAAGAGAGAGGGTTTTTTAACTGAGTAGCTTGACTTCATAAAGGACAAGTCCTGTCATACTAATCTAATCTTCTGAGATGAAAATGAAAGGCTGGGTAGATCAAGGAGAAAGATTTATATATAATTCATTTAGACGGTGGAATGCTTTGGGTATGATACTGTACGGTATTTCTATCAGCCCTTACCTCGCTGCCTGAGAGAGTGGACATCAGAGGCCCGTTGTCCACCTGAGGACAAATTGTCTAAAACTGAATTCAAGGCCAGTTCTACTTATATTTCTGTCCATAGTCTGGTGTTTGGATTAAAATGCATAGGCATTTAATTTGCTCACAGCACAGAGCTGTGAGAGAACTTGCAAAGAAAAAGATAAGTAAAAAGAAGCTTAAAAAATAGAACTGTCCAGCCACACTGAATCTATGACAAATATTCTAAGCCTCATGTTATCATTTAGCTTAAGAAAGTCATCAATTCTTCTGTATATTTTGATCTTATTGTCCAGTTGGCTCACTCTGAGGATGAGGAAAAGACTTATACCTTATCTCTACTTGTTATAGCATGTGATGGGTATTTAATAAATATTTGATTGATTAGCAAGCAGCTAATAAGATCATAAAGAAACAGTTGTATGATGTTCAATAAAAGAGAAAAGGCAATGCCAAAGAATGTCCAAACTACCACACGATTGCATTCATCTCACACACTAGCAAAGTAATGCTCAAAACTCTCCAAACTAGGCTTCAACAGTACATGAACCGGGAACTTCCAGATGTTCAAGCTGGATTTAGAAAAGCAGAGGAACCAGAGATCAAATTGCCAACATCTGTTGGATCATAGAAAAAGCAGGAGAATTCTAGAAAAACATCTACTTCTGCTTCATTGACTATGCTAAAGCCTTTGACTGTGTGGATTGCAACAAACTGTGGGAAATTCTTAAAGAGATGGGGATACTAGTGCACCTTACCTGCCTCCTGAGAAATCTGTATGCAGGTCAAGAAGCAACAGTTAGAACCAAACATGGAAAAACAAACTGGTTCCAAATTGGGAAAAGAGTATGTCAAGGCTGTATATTGTCACCTTGTTTATTTAACTAATATGCAGAGTACATCATGTGAAATGCTGGACTGAATGAAGCACAAGCTGGAATTAAGATTGCCGGGAGAAATATCAATAACCTCAGATATGCAGATGACACCATGCTTATGACAGAAAGCTAAGAGGAACTAAAGAGCCTCTTGATGAAAGTTAAAGAGGAGAGTGAAAAAGCTGGCTTAAAATTCAGTATTCAAAAAGTGAAGATTATGGCATCCAGTCCCGTCACTTCATGGCAAATAGATGAGGAAACAGTGAAAACAGTGAGAGACTTTATTTTCTTGGGCTCCAACATCACTGCAGATGGTGAATGCAGCCATGAAATTACTCTATTCAGTTCAGCTCAGTTCAGTCCTTCCACGTTTGCTCCTTGGAAGAAAAGCTATGACCAACCTAGACAGCATATTAAAAAGCAGAGACATTACGCTGCCATCAAAGGGCTGTCTAGTCAAAGCTATGGTTTTCCCAGTAGTCATGTATGGATGTGAGAGTTGAACCATAAAGAAAGCTGAGCACCAAAGAACTGATGGTTTGAACTGTGGTATTGGAGAAGACTCTTGAGAGTCCCTTGGACTGTAAGGAGATCCAACCAGTCTGTTCTAAAGGAAATCAGGTCTAAATGTTCACTGAAGGAACTGATGCTGAAGCTGAAACTCCAGGATTTTGGCTACCTGATGTGAAGAACTAACTCACTGGAAAAGACCCTGTTGCTGGGAAAGATTGAAGGCAGGAGGAGAAGGGGATGACAGAGGATGAGATGATTGGATGGCATCACCGACTCAATGGACATGAGTTTGAGCAAGCTCTGGGAGTTGGTCATGGACAGAGAACCCTGGCATGCTGCAGTCCATGGGGTCACAAAGAGTTGGACATTACTGAGCAACTGAACTGAACTGAATAGGGTGATAACGTGTACCAGGTCCATCACTAGTTAGTAGTACAACTATGCTAGTGGATGGATACATAGGTGTGAAGCTTAAGGACTCATGAAAATAGTCTGTGTTCTATACTAGGCTGGGTTAGACCTTTAGTAGATGACTGTGATCATTCTGTGGTTCACAATTAAAACAGGAGGTGTAAATTGTTCAGATAGGAGCCACAAAGATGATTTACAGAAGCTTGAGGCTGTGTGGGTGTGGTGGTTGAATAAGTACACTCTGTAGTCAGACCCAGCTAGATTCTCAAACTAGCAGTGACCTTGGGTGCATTACTTCTCAAAAGCGTACTTTCTCTTTTGCCGAAGCTGAGAGAGTAATAGGGCTTATTGCATAGAGATATGAGAATTAATGAACATAATAAATGTATAAAACACCTAATACACTTTAAACTCAATAAATATTGTATTAAGAACCATAATTGCTGAGACATAAAGGGATCAGTTTAGTCTAAGGGAGAAAAGGTTGAGAGTAAGTATAATAATCTTTACACACAAAGCAAATCTCAAACAATCTTCTAAGTTGACATTGCCTTAATTTAGTTTGATAAAATTTTTGAGGACCTTTCATCAAGGAAGGACTTCCCGGGTGGCGCTGGTAGTAAAGAACCCACCTGACAATCAGGAGACATAAGAGACATGGGTTTGATCCCTGGGTCAGTAAGTTCCCCTGGAGAAGGCAATGGCAACCCACTCCAGTATTCTTGCCTGGAGAACCCCATGGACAGAGGAGCCTGGTGGGCTACAGTCAATAGGGCCATAAAGAGTCAGCCACAACTGAAGCGACTTAGCATGCACACACCAAGGAAAATATGAGAGCCAAAGGCTTCATCTGTGGCATGATGGACACGAGACAAACATAGGGAAGAATTTCTGACAGTCAGGATTTCTGAACTCACTGGCCTGTGTCACTTAGGAAGAATGTGGAATTTTCTTTGAAGGCTTGGGAAATAGTCTAGTTCCTCCTCCCATTTTCCTGAAGTGGTTTAGTTGTGTGTGAGCTGGATTAGTGTCTTCTCAAGCCACTTAGGTTAATGTGTCTTCTTTGAGATCCCAGGCTAGCATTTATTTAATAGAGCATTTAGGAAATGGCAACCCACTCCAGTATCCTTGCCTGGAAAATATCGTGGACAGAGAAGCCTGGTGGGCTGCCGTCCATGGGGTCGTAAAGAGTCAGACATGACTGAGTGACTAATACTTACACTTGAGCTGTGCTTACCCAAGGTCAGTGTGTTGGCACCTTTCAAGCAGTACTGAATTAACATCAAAATGCTGTCATGGACCATCAGGATCCGCCATTTTGTTTTTTTCAGCCTGGATCAGAATTCACAGCCAGCTGATAAGAGCCTGATAGGTGAGTGCCTTTTCTGCCAAGTCTAAAGATAATGAGACCGTGTAAGAATCACACTTGTCTGGGATGATTCATCTGTAGGCAGAGGACCCACTGTGAAGAACCTAGATGAGAGATTAATAAGTGCCAGCACCTGACTGTAACCATGGCTCTGTACTACAGAGACTCTGGTGAGGATGGGTGAAAGGCTAAGCTCTGAGTTTCTTTCTGTTTGAAATGCCAGTTGGCATTTTCTTTTAAAGAACTCTTTTTCTGCTCACATGCTTCCATGAAAGGAAACGTATTTAGGTGAAGTATATGAACTATAGAAAAGTAGGAGACCATCGAATGTGGTTTAAAAACAAAAAAATATACAAACTTCAAAAGAACAATGAATATATTGGCCATTCCTTTACTCATCCAGTTATTTTTAGAAGCGATCTTGCCACCTTTGATACTGCCCTTGTGTGATGGCCACTGCCAATCTTTCAGAATCAAATTGAGATACTGACAGCATTTCAGCTACCCGTGGCCCCAGAGAGGAGAATGGAAATGCTGTGCTAAAGGTGTAGGCCAGTTGTGGGTGTATTAATTGCTTCAGTCATGTAAGATACTTTGTGATGCCATGGAATGTGTGACCCACCAGGCTTCTCTGTCCATGGAATTCTCTAGGCAAGAATAGTGGAGTGGGTTGCCATTTCCTTCTCCAGGGGATCTTCCCAACCCAGGGGTAGAACCCGGGTCTCCTGCTTTGCAGGCAGATTGTTAGTGTCTGAGCCACCAGGGAAATCTTCCAGTGGGGTCTTCATCTGTGGAACTAACACTGGGGAAAGAGAGTCAACAAAGGAAGAAGCCTCAGCCTGGGTTGCCGTGCTCAAGACACCAGTGCCCAGGATACCAGCGACAAGATGGCTGGGATATTGGCAGAGTTGGTACTGCTCCATTGGTGGGGTGGGGGGGCAGGCTGGACCAGAGACAGTGACCCTGGACAGCTTTGGAAACTGGATCTGTAGCATTCTGTACCTTCTCAGCCAAGTATTCCTTCTGTGTGTGGATAGAGAAATAGGTGTTTTCTAGGAACATGGGCAGGATCCTGTGGTTCTCCGTTTCTCCGGTTGGGCACTAGATGTTAGTTCCAGCCGATGAAGCTGTGTACTCGGCAAGACTTCATATACTCACACGCCCCAGAGCTGGAGGGAAAGAAAATGAAGGTTAAGCAGTTAGGACTTGTGAACTCTTAAAGAGCGATTGATGCTATTAACCCATAGGCACAAAGGAGGCATAGCCAAAGTGAAAGTTGAATAATTCCGGCAAAGGAGAGTGATTTTTCAGCATGAAGTGAACAGAGAAAATTTCAGAGAAACTTAGATGTAACCAATCCAGCACTGGACATCACTTTCACCTTTTTGCCAGCCAGGCATTCTGGGGTCTAAACGAGTCTAAGGAGAGGCCAAGGGTGGGGAGAGAGTGGACCTCACCTTGTACACTGCCTGCTGCAAGGGAAGAGCCAGCAAGCTCCAAAAAACATGTGTACCTGCATTAGAAGTCGCTTCAGTCTTTGTGACCCTGTGGACTGAAGCCCTCCAGGATCCTCTGTCCATGGGATTCTCCAGGCAAGAATACTGGAGTGGGTTGCCATGCCCTCCTCCAGGGCATCTTCCTGACCTAGGGTGCGAACCCATGTCTCTTATGCCTCCTGCATTGTCAAGTGGGTTCTTTACCACTAGCACCACCAGCCCTCCAAAAAACATATTTCGAATCAAATAACCCACACTTGGTGTGATTCAGGCTGGTGTGGGAATGCAGGGGTTTGATACAATAGTGGACAAAGCAACATAAAGTTCTTATTGTTAAGAGCAAGAAAGGGTGTCCAGTCTCTGTTGGCATTTGGATATAGGGAGCAGAGAATGTCCAGCATCAAGGGTGTTGGCAGGGCCTGTGCAGAATAGTGGGAAAGTCTGAGTAGGGATGTTCATCTGGTAGGAAGTGAAAGTCGCTCAGTTGTATTCGACTCTTTGCGACCCCATGGACTATACAGTCCATGGAATTCTCCAGGCCAGAATACTGGAGTGGGTAGCCTTTCCCTTCTCCAGGGGATCTTCCCAACCCAGGGATTAAACCCAGATCTCCTAAATTGCAGGTGGATTCTTTATCAGCTGAGCCACAAGGGAAGCCCAGTCTCATCAGGTAGAGACAGGAATAAAAGTCATACAGAAGTTTGGGTGGGTACATAGTGGGTCCGTGAAGGGGGAAGCCTTCTTTTTCTGCACCCAGCCAGGCTCACATCATGTGCTCTAAATTCTGGAGTTGGAGCAGCCCAGTCAGCTCTAGAAGATGTTCTGGTTGAGCATGGGACTCAACCAGTCCTGCTTTAAAGGGTAGAAGCCACAACTGGTGGCTAAAATTCTAAGTCCACAGTCAAGTAAGGCAGAGCCAGGCAGGTGATGACAAGCTGTTGAAGATGTATATGTATATTTAATTTGCTTGTATGCAATTTTCTTTTCATTTCTGGAGCCCTTCAAAATGTGTTGGCTTTTTTAGACAGAGGTTGGTTTGGAAAAGTGAAAGTTTCGAAGCCATTTTAATTGTGAACAGCTATCCTTGGCTTTCTGTGAGGAAGTAGTGATCAGTTTCTCAGTGCAGGGACCTGGGGAAACAGATCACTGGATATTTGTTGGGAAAAACTTTTCCAGGAAACTTCTTTCTGTCCCTGGAGGCAATGGCTTGTTCAGTCAGTTCAGTCGCTCAGTCGTGTCCAACTCTTTGCGATCCCATGGACTGCAGCACACCAGGCTTCCCTGTCCATCACCAACTCCCAGACCTTGCTCACATTCATTTCCATTGAGTCGGTGATGCCATCCAACCATCTGATCCTCTGTCATCCTCTTCTCCTACCTTCAATCTTTCCCAGCATCAGGGCTTTTTCCAGTCAGTCAGTTCTTCACGTCAGTTGGCCAAAATATTGGAGCTTCAGCTTCAGCATCAGTCCTTCCTATGAATATTCAGGACTGATTTCTTTGAGGATTGATTGGTTTGATCTCCTTGCAGTCCAAGGGACTCTCAAGAGTCTTCTCCAACACAATAATTCAAAACCATCAATTCTTTGGTGCTCAGCTTTCTTTATAGTCCGATTCTCACATCCATACATGACTACTGGGAAAACCGTAGCTTTGACTATATGGAGCTTTATAGGCAAAGTAATGTCTCTGCTTTTTAATATGCTGTCTAGGTTGGTATAGCCTTTCTTCCAAGGAGCAAGTGTCTTTCAATTTCACGACTGCAGTCACCATCTGCAGTGATTTTAGAGCCCAAGAAAATAAAGTCTCTCAGTTTCTGTTGTTTCCTCATCTATTTGCCATGAAGTGATGGGACCGGATGCCATGATCTTTGCTTTTTGAATGTTGAGTTTTAAGCCAGCTTTTTCACTCTCCTCTTTCACTTTCATCAAGAGGCTCTTTGGTTCCTCTTCCCTTTTTGCCATAAGTGTGGTGTCATCTACATATCTGAGGTTCTTGCTATTTCTCCTGGCAGTGGCTTGTTGACCTGTGCCAAAGAGCACGATTGGTCCAGATTCTCAATTCAGCAATGTTTCATCTTTCTCTATAGAGCAGGGACAGAAGGAGAGAGAACTTTTTGTTTTCCAGGAATCTTTCTGAAGAGACCCATGTGCATGAACATAGCTACTGTATTTAGAACCAGTGCTTTGTTATTTTCAGCAACATATAAGGTACCAGCACTCTTAGCTTTGTCAAATATAAAATGCCTTTCCTCCTCATCTCCTCTTGTGAGCACCTCCCCAATTCTTTACTCCCATTGGTATATGAATGTGATGCTCTGAGCAAATACATATTAAGAGATGGGAGCATTAATGTTTTTGAGACAAATGTCTACATCTTCACTCTGAAAACTGCTGCTGATGCATCCAGTACCATCACTGGTCTGTATTTCACCCTGTTCTTTATTAATGATCACATTTCTTCTGTAAACTCCACCCTCTTGGCTTAAGTGAAATAGAAAGATTTTGATGGTGTAAGCAGTTTTGGATTTTGGATTTCGCTCCTAGTAAAAATTTTTTTTCTTTTCTCTTGGTTCTGTGGTTTAATTTTACCATGCCCTTCTTTTTATCTATGAAATGCTTTTTTTTTTTTTAAATCCATGAAAATGCCCATATCTATATTTGTGTTGAGCACACTTGATTTTGTAAACTTGTCTAAATAAATTTAGTCTGATATTGATAATCCTAATTAATACTGTTGGTTTGATGTTTATACTATTTTTCTCTATTTCATTTCCCCCCCAACTTTTCCTATTCCCCTGCTTTCTTCATTTGCATTTATTTAAAAGTATGTTTATTCAGTCACAGAATGTGGTGATTGTTGAATATGTCAGCTTGTTCTTTTATAGAAAAGGACCTCTTAATAAAAATACAAGTCAGTTCATCAGAGAGTTGTTTTGATGTGCAGAAAACACTGGCCATAGTGAAGAATTTTAATTTAAAATGAAATACAATAGCCTTATTAGGATTTTGGTGTCCTGATACCTTATAGCAGAACCCAAGCACATTCTGAAAGTCCTCCTGGCATTCTCTAGGCCTTTTGCTTCCTGACTTAATTCTTTAATTCACTCAAGTATATTAGTGAGAGGGAACTGGCCTTTTTATTCTTCTCCTCTTATTGCCCTGTCTGATGCTGGTAAGCTTTCTTCTTGCTAAAAAATTGTCCCTGAGACCTAGAATAAGAAGGACCTTGTAGACATTCTCAAAGTGAATACTTTTAGTTTGTTTCTCAGCTGTGGCTTAAATTCAGCGATTGAAGCACATCCAAGAGGGAGATTCAGGGAGGAAACTGGGACACAATTCAAGGAGAAAGCAAAATTATCTTCTGAAAGAACAAATAAGAAAAAGAATGCCGGCTTCTGGGGGAGTTGTTTAGCTATCCAGAATGGCTGTTAGACTAGCTCAATCTGCTTGAATGTCTGTTCATGGGCTTTTGAAAACCCAGAGCATTCCCTTTGTGTGCAAGGGTTTACTGAGAATGAATCTGGCATTTAAGTGGCAGAAAAGATCATGCTTCTCCACCAGTGAGCTTCCTTTGTGTGTTTCACTCATGATATTTCTGATTAATGGCAAGAACATCAGGTGTTTTTTTCTTTCTTGCAGGGCTCACAAAATTGACACTAACCAAACCCACTCTAAATAGCTACACTAGCCTTAGTCACCTGAAAAAAAATGATGGTTGCTATCAGAGTTTATAGTCACCAAAAAGGGGATCTCTTGGAGTTGGGGGGGTAGAGAAAGGCCTCCCCTTGTGTTGGGAGAGGAGAGATTTTTGTCCCCATATTCTGCTTCTACTTTGTGCTCAGTGTGGAAGAAGTAGAGAAGAAATACCCAGGACTAACCCAGCTTGGAGGAACCTGACCTCTCAGCCCGTCATTTCTACACTTGCCTTCTAAATCTGATGGGTAGTGGAGGTTTTCAGCAAAAGCCTAGAGGTTCTAGCCTTTTTTCAAACACAGATCCTTCTTAAGAACTGAATTTAGAAGGAAAACAGAAGGAGGAGAAAGGTCAGATTTATTTAATCTGGAATTGCTTTAATGTCCTAGCAGGCTTGTAATCCCTAGGATGTTACAGATTGCTAAGATTTGTGTAGTGTGAGGTACTTCAGGGAACATATGTATACCTATGGCTGATTCATGTTGATGTTTGGCAGAAACCAACAAAATTCTATAAAGCAATTATCCTTCAATTAAAAAATAAATAAAATGCTGGAAAATGTTATTAGTTCAATAGCCAATAAAAATAAACTAGATTTGAAAATTATCTATGGCTTCCCAGGTGATGCTAGTGGTTAAAGAACCCACCTGTTAATACAGGAGACATAAGAAAGGTGGGTTTGATCTCTGGGCTGGGAAGATATCCTGGAGGAGGGCATGACAACCCACTCCAGTATTCTTGCTTAGGAAATCCCATGAACAGAGGAGGGCTACAATCCATGGGGTCGGGAAGAGTCGGACTTGACTGAAGTGACTTAGCATGCATGCATGACAATTATCTGGATGCAACATCAATTGCCACTTTTGTAATTAAGGTGTAATTGATATATAACATATTTTGAGCATGCAATATAATGATTCCATATTTGTAAACACTGTGAAATGATCACAACAATTCTTGTTACCATTCATCACCGAA